GCGAAATAGTCTTAAATAATATAAATAGTCGTACTGGAAAGAGACGACGTGCAGAACAATGTTACACTACATATATACATGAGAAACATTGGATATATTGCAAGAACAAATTTCAGATGATGTAAGGGGGACCCAGAAAATGGAAAATATACAGGAATAAAACGATGTATCAAGACTACCTGACTCACCGCAAGGAGCGAGCTAAGATTCTCGCAAGGGAAGCTGGATGTTCCCTCGGTCCTGAATCCGAGTTAATTCTGCTTTTCGATATTATACGCAAGTCAACCTTAGGGGAGACTTCCGACGTCAGAAATCGTATGGGATCTCGGGATCATTATTCGGGAAAGGGATCATTTTTCCTGAGAACCACACAACAGAGCTAATAGTAGTGATATCTCGACTTGCGAACGTCTACAATTCGACCTTTTCCAGACACAAGTCGGACGTTCGACATTTTTATCTCCGCATACGAACATGTCATGCATACATGGAAAAAAATTGGTGTCAGGCCACATCAGGCCTACACTTCAGCGCCGAGATCAATATGTTATGTTATGTCTGCTGACGAGCCGATGTTCAGTTTTGCCTCTTAACCCATTTTTTATTCACAGCATTCGTTCTCTACTCCTATAATTTGGCCGCTTCCTCTGATCGAGTGATCGCTGGAGCATATCTGGTATTATACGTCCGTATTTTGTTTTCGCTTGCTGGTGCTATATTTTATTTAATTGTATCAATAAACATTAATACCAATTAAAATCGGATCGCGGCTCCTAAAAAGGCTAGAGAAAAAACTGACGAAGGCCGTGTGAAACTGGTGATTTCGTTCTATATAAAATGCGAAATAATCCGGAAGCATGACGAAGGCATGCGCATTGTTGACCTGATATTTAAACATAGGAACATTTCCCTATACGAACCCAGTCGTAATTAAGTTCGTATGTAAAGGTGTCAGTTGGAAGGTTGAATTACCATGTAAGTAAAATTCTTTGGTGGGGCCCAGTGGTTACAGTTCACAGTACCAAGATTGGCGCAGAGAGGCGCGGGTTCGATCCCAGCTCTGTGCGCCAGTTTCTGGTCAGAATCGGCGAGGAGGCCGGGCGGTTAAGCACAGCAGAATTATGGCAGCGAGTTCGCGACCGCAAAATGCTGTGAAAGTTCAGCAATCTTAAGAATCAGCGACAGACCTATGGCTACTAAACGCTGAAACCGATATTATTATAATTATTATTACATTTTCTCTTCTCTGTCCGTCGTGCGGGCGGCCGACGTCCCGTGTAAGCGACCTCTTGAAGAGTGTCTTTCTTTCTGCTGTTCACCTTCCCTTCCTTGTTACTTCATCGCTTTTAAATGCGAACGCTGCGTCTTTCAAGCTGTTTTCAGTGGGCTGGACAATGGGACCTGCTTTTGTGGATGATAATAAATTTGATAAATTTTCAATACTTGAGACTTCGTTTTGCTTGCTATGTTAATTTTGACCTCCGATACACAATAGCTGAAGCGCTCATTTACCTTTATGACAATCAAATTCTTCATTTCTTTTGTTAAAACGCATGAAGGAAAATGTGCTGCGAAAATCCTTATACCCTGAAGGCAAGTTATGCCGTACTACTAAAAGCTACGAGTGATGCGTATTATAAGAGCGAACCGTTGCTGGGAGTGGGGCATTGCTAGGAGCAAGCAGTTGCTGGCAGTGAGGCATTGCATGCTAGGAGCAAGCAGTTAATTGGAGTGATTCATTGCTAGGAGCAAGCAGTTGCTGGGAGTGAGGCATTGCTAGGAGCGAGCCGTTCCAGGTAATAAAATCTTATAATTGATGAACTTTTTGTTCTTGCACGTTATTCGAAAACATCAGCCGTGTGAAACTTGTCCACTCCCTGGAGTCTGCTTGTGCAACTTTAATCATTTTTTCCAAAAACATGCTTTCTATACCGTTTTTTTAACTTACTATTGCTTTATTAACTCGTCCTTGCCCGTGTTCGCTCTGCCATCTCGTGCAACTCTTAATGATAATGATTTTCTTCCCTTGGTCCGTTCAGATATTATTTAGCAGATCTATTGTGTAGTTTGTGGCAGAGTTCCATGATGGTGTCACTGCAAGACATCGCTAGCAACACGCGTCTGGCTAGAGAGATGGCTTTAACGTCTCAGTACGAGACGGCTGTCATTTACTACCAGGGTGTAGTGCAGCAAATACATCGACTGCTTGCTACCATACAAGAGCCCAGCAGAAAACAGCAATGGCAGCAGGTGGGATCGTATTAGAATTTCCAACTTGAGCTAAGTTTGTTTGATCGTGAAGTATTATTGTAAAAATTTCAATGTTGCACTACTGATTATACCACCCGAATTGGCCTTGAATTTGTTGGTATTTTTTTCATTTTGAGACCATATTTATTTATTTATAAACAAGTACCGGTAGGTGTAGGAATAGAGCGGGGTTTTAATTGCTTTAAAGTATTGATCAACTGAAAAACAGATGTGATCCCGACTTCATGCATATCTTTTCTTTTCACACCTAAAAAGTGATGACATAATATTGTTACCTTCTACCATGTTCCACATACCCAGAAGCTCCAGACATAATATTCTTACCTTCTATCTCTATAATGATCTGAACTAAGAAAATAATGTAGTATTTATTACAAGCTTTCAACAAGGAAATTTTCAAGTGAAGATCCCTGCAGGCACAGCAGCAGATTGCAGCAGAGTACGAGCAGCTCAAGGAGCTCATGAACACTCTCTCCATGTTCGAGAACCCCATGAACGCTCCAGACAGCCGCACCATCGGTACGGCCAATGCAATGTTAATGTAAGGTATTGTACAGCCAATAGAATGTATGGTACGCATTGGTACTTTATTTTAAATGATATCATTGTAAAGGCAGGAAGTAATTTTTCAAAAGTAAAAGCTATAAATATCGAAAAACATGCCAGGGATAAGCAGAATTTCATTTAAACTTTGAAGTGCGATTGTTAGCTCTGCTATGAAACTCAATCTCTCTGAATTTTGTCCAGTATTCTCCGTGAATTAAGTTTTGATTAAGAGGTAGGTATTATTAAATTACATTGTTATATCACCTTTCGTTAGTCATTTTTATCTAGTGCAATTGCTCATAATTGTTTGATTATGGTTTTAATTTCGCTCTGCACCTTCTGACAGTGGGACTGAGGTAATTAAATTACCTTCATTAATTATCGCTGTTGGGATTTGTGCAAATAAATTGTATATTTGTTAGAATAAATGATATAAATTTTGATGCGCCTTACTAGGCGGAGGGTCTGGGATGCGCATGACGGCGTTCGAGGAGCCCACGCGCGACCCCGACGTGTGGGCGCCGCCGCCCCCCAGGGACCCAGACGTCTGGCCATCGCCCACCAACGTCGACCACAAGTAACTCTTGCGTATATTTTAGGAATTTATTTTGTTTATAATTTTATTCTGAATGAGACAGTTCGCATTTGAATTCTCTACGGTAGTGCCTGTCCACCTCCCCATGAGACCCGGTCATTTTCCGTATATAAGTCCCTGCACAATGCGATGACCGTTAAGGCAAAGTTGTCGGGTAGGTTTATTTTAATCATGATAGACAAATGAAATGGTAGACCAGCGGAACACCGATACAAGTTCTTGTCAATTGTTCCGACACTGACTCCATCTACATATCTTATGAAGTCGTAATTCATACACATTCACTTCTATGACTGGAAGTAGAGCGTGAGTACTACAGGTCAAACCTTTGAATCGAGCTGCATGGCCTATAGGTAGTCATGTACTATGAAAGTACTGTCAGCCCTGTTCCAAAAATGCTAGAATTAATTCAACAAATTGCTTTTCCTGAGGCCTCATTTGTGCCAACGCTAACAGTACTTAAAATCTTAAGAAACTAAGATGCGGTGCCTTAAAATTCTGACCTGCCGAGCAACCACCGATCGATGCCAATAAAAAACACTGAAAACGCCGAAAAGTTTCATTACTTTGGACTAGTGAAAGTTTCCTATTGCTGTGAACTGCAAGAAACCCAATCTAAATAAGTCTACTAAGTCCAACGCACCGAGACGCCAGGCGTCACAAAAAGGGCTCTTATTACAAGGTACCACAGCAGCATCCATCCTCCAAGATTGGGAGAGTGGGATTCGCGGGACTGGGTGGACGCGGTCCCGTGAACGAAGTTGTCTTACTGCTACTCTGGGGACCAAGGACTCGATTGCACAGGCAGCTAGCTTAGAATGCCGATATTTGTGTAGCTCACAATCAGCTGTGTGTGCAAACGCTATCGGCTGTAACTACTAAATTGAGTTGTGATTCTCT